ATCATGAGACAAAATAAAAGGCCATGGCCTTTTAATATGGATTTTACAGAATTGCCTCTGAGGTGGCCTTCTATTTAGGGTGCCCTTCTAATATAGGGTGGCCTTCTATTTTGGGGGGGGTTTAGTGAGAAAGTAAATTCGAAAAAATTTTGAAGTGGCTTACCACTTGAAGATGGCATTCTTTAACTTGATTTTTATATTCAGATAGCCGCAACACTTTTCTTTTAAAAGCGGAAAACCATACGGTTCTAGCTCTTTCCGTTGAAAAGTTATGAAAACAATAATGGACTGCACTATATTTTGAAATGGATAGCAGTCGACTTTAGCGACATACAATTGAGTCACGAACAGACTTTAGATCACAAGTGTCTCTGTCTATAACATCTTCTCTCTGTGACTCATCCCAGACGATACACGCTTTAGTCACTGATCAAAGATATAAGCGGTATGCGATGAGCAGCGAGGGTAGACACACTATAGCAATGCACAGGGTGTGGATGAGAACAACTCTGAGTGTACTTATGATCAGTTTAGTCCGAAAGTAAATTCTTTGCCGTTGATTTCAAAGTTCAAGTGTTCGATTGTATCAACTCTGTAGGTTTCTTTTGTGCTTTGCTTCTTTCTGTTCTATTCTTGCCTCTCTCAATCAACTAATCACCCAGATTGATCGTTTCGAAATAAGGCTGAAGGATGAACAAATAAGGCTGAACGAAGAAACAAATAACTTCAGCCAACAGCTAAAGCGTGATAATGATAGATAATGAATAGGCTGTAGTAGTTGAACACTCATATACTAAATTTCAAACATTTTGTGCTGATTCATTTCGCTTGAACAAAAGCAGATTTAGAAGGCATATTTCTGCTGGGCACAGCTTTGATGATTATTTCTTATACTTATGCACGTTTCGTTTGTAATAGGAGAAATATTTATCAAAGACATAATGAACATCTAAAACCGCTATTTCAACAATCATTTTAAAATGTATGGTTCATAGGATGAGAAAACTTTTCGACTGCTAAATGACTTTGAAAAAATGTACATTAATGGATAGTGAACAAATCTTCTGTGAGAAAAATGTTTTGCTTTCGTAAATGAATGATAAATATTCCAACCGATACAAATTTTTCATTATATCATTATTATTTGTTGTATTATATTTCGGTAAAGATAATAACACCCAACACCCATTGATTTTTTATTTTAAAAATCCGAAGCTTTCGATAACGATCTATAATCATCCGCAGCCTAAGTTTACTATAAAAAACACACGACTATATATACATTAAGTCGTTCTTTCTCATTCTTATTTTTCGCTTTTTACTTTGCACTATTCACTCACTTTTGGCTGTATTTCTTTTTGTTCCTATTAACATATATTTTGAACACTGCAAGAGGGAGAAACAGAAGAATATCGAAATTCAACTGTGCAATTGAACAGTTATCAAGTATTCTCACCTCGATTTGAGCTTTTCTTGTTATTATATAATTTTCTATTCTTTTTTATCAGTAAGGGAGAGGAATATTCCAATAAAGACATTTCGATATAAGTGATGCGATGGAATGTATTCGAATGTTCACTCACACATTTCAGCAAAAAAGAAATTCTCTGTCTCGTTCTACCTATGAGAGTTTAGTTTGTCTGAGATGACTGAATAGAATGATCAAAAATTTGAGCTATATGTCCTTGAATAATCGAATGTTCTTCCTCAAATATTCATCTCTTGTGCGTAGTTATTAGCTTTTCTAAGTCAATATTAAAATTTATTTCAAGATGTTCATGAAAGATCTACATAGTAGATTTTATAAATGAATGATAAATATTCTAAATGATACAAATTTTTGATTATATCATTAGTTTAGTTTAAACTTTATTTATTCAAGAAAGAGAAATTTTACACAGATGCGGTCTAGGTTATTATATCAGAGGAAAATGACATAGTAAAAATTCAAAACTTTTGTAGTAGTTGCTGCTCCATCGAAAGTTTTTTGAAGTGGTCTACTACTTGAAGATGGTATTTTTTGACTTGATTTTTATATTCAGATAGCCGCAACACTTGTCTTTTAAAAGCGGAAAACCATACGGTTCTAGCTCTTTCCGTTGAAAAGTTATGAAAACAATAATGGACTGTGCTATATTTTAAAATGAATAATAATACCATGCTAGTGTTGTGAAATCCTATACAAAATCGAGTGTTTCTGAGTTAAATTATCGGTTAATAACCAGTTGGATAATATGTACATTCTTAATAAAATTAGAACCGTTACTTATCCAATCAGATAGAATTATTTAATAAAATAATCTGATGGCGTCTTGTCGTTATAATGTATCGCCAGTATACCGTTTGTTCATTTTGTATCATAGAATATATGAATACGTTTACATTAAATTTGGTGAACAGTTTCAGTCTGGTTTATCAACAATATGTCGGTGTTTCGGATATAGACAGTTTAAGAGGAAGAAAATTTGATATAATTCCAAATGTGTATGAGTGGTGCAAGTGCTTTGTCTTAGTACCAATCATCCGACAGCATACTCACCACGTTGTTTGCCCACTTATCCTTGACATTGCTGATTGTCATCATACAATTTCTTATTGAACAATTATGTTGTCAATATGTGTATATATCTATATATGGCAGCGACGTTCTTCTTTTCTAGAAAAAAATAAGAAGTTGTAGTTATACCACCGAGAGTGAGAAAGAGAGAAAGAAAAAACATAAATCAGTGAACACAGATATCGACGTCAAAACCAAATGAAAAAATATCTACTAAACTCATCTCACAATACATAATATCGTTAACATTATAGAACTGTTTGTTATTTGTTTTCACTTTGTGCGCCCGTTAGTATCGAAAGAGAACGAGCAAATAAATATATATATATTTATATATGTGTATATAGCTGTCATATCATAGAATCATATCATGTCTTATGTAAAAACGAATTTTGAAAAGTTGCCAGATTTGACTATTTTCGAAATATTTTCGTATGTGATACATTATTTGGTTTTCTCAATTTGACTAATACATTAAACTTGTTGATCTACGAAAAAAGAAAATATTTTATTGATAGAATCGACTTAACATCAAAACACGATAATGTAATAATTATGCACACATTATTTGAAAGCATTTTACCATGTATCGGACATTATATTTCTTTTTTAACTGTCAATGACTTACAAGTTGAATGGTATTCAGTATTTAACTATACACCTTCTTTAATACGATTACGTTTGATAAATAGCACTAATAGGAATAATTTGGTAAAAATTTTTGAATCTAATACAACGACATTAAATGAATTGATTCTTGAATATAAACGTTCAAGCGTGTCAACCAATTATTTATTACTGTTGACCGATTATCTCTCCGAGAAAGCAATAATGTTAGATACATTAACAATCTTAAATAAACAGAAACCCAATAGTTTTCAGTATGATAACGAGATACGCCTGAACTTCGATCATATTCAATATTTAACAATATCGATGCGTGTAATACAAGACTTTCAACTTGTATTTGATTGCACACCTTCAGTATTACTTCAGTATTACGCCTACATGTTACGATATTTATTCCAGTTTCAAAGAGAAGTTGTTACAGTAACCGCAGGTAAGAGCAGATCTATGTATGATACATTTATATTTCATTGAGTCTAGTCTCCAGAACACGAATATAAACAGAAATTGTGGTAAAACGGATATCGACACTCCGCCATCGGAGTTTCTGCATTCTCGTTTTTGCTCAATATTTTCGAAAAATTGAATTATTCTGATTTTCGACATTGTCGAATTTCGGGCTGTTTTTTGACTATTGTCTTAAGTCCTTGTAATTTCGACAATTGTCGGAAATCCACTTTTGCGGTGGTATATTTTTAAATTTTAAGAAATTGGAAAAGAAAAAATTCATATGATGAGAGAAGTGGAATTTCTGCGCTATCAAACATTTTGCTGAGCAACTTGAATATGCTACACACAATGAGTGAACTGGCAGTCCCAGGACTGGCACCTAGTGACTATTAGTAGCCTGAAAGACGATAGGACCATGGGTAATCGGCCATGCTGAGCCTCGCGCTAATATATTTTTTTAAGCATACCCAGTTAGCATATACCATTATAAATCAGTCATTTAGAGGTGTCTGCATCTCTAAAGAAAATTTATTTTCTCAGTCGTAGTTTTTGATTGACTCTCACTGAGATTGATATCATCTCAATGAAAACTTCCGCTACGAGGTTGTAACTAGGATATCAATTTGCCTCTTTTATCAACCGTATTTTTATATTTCAGTGTATTTAATTATGATTGTACATTGTTAAAAGAGAAAGTACCACGTCTTCAAGAGTTTATTTTCGAAGCATTAGATATGTTTGAATATAGAGAATTTGATGATATAATCAAAAATTTGTATCATTTAAAATATTTATCATTCAACTATGAAAGCACAAACAACAATGATGACCTTAACGGTTACTCGCAGGAACGAACATTATTACCATTAAAATCATTGAACAGATTAGATATGTTAATCAAGGTTAGTTATTCGTCATCGAGCAGTTATAAAATTTTCAAGAAATCGTTTCAGACAGATTACTGGAACGGAATGGGTGCTGTTGTTATATGCTTAAAACGACACCTTTTGGTTATAAATTTATTCAAACAACGGGAAAATATAATGCAATCAAAGAGTTAAAGCAAAATAATTGACCGTCGAAGAAAATTGATGATTAACTACTGTACATCCGTTGTGAATTCATATAACAGTTGAAAGATGAATCTATTTTTATTCAGATAACAAGTCGTGTCTGTCTCAAATGGATAACCTTGCTTTTTTAAGAAAAAAACTTTCTGAACTTTAGGAAATATTCGAGCGAGAATAGAATCTGCGCTACAAGAAAACGTATATTTTCGTATCGTCTCAAAAAGTGCGATTTAATCGTAAATCTACACTCCTTATCTGTTGTTCTATCTTCTATAGATGACAGAAAAAGGAACGAAATATTTCTTTCCTCATAACCGACTCCTTTCCACAGTGGGCAATCACATGGAAATTAGGTGTCAAAACGAAAGCGAGTTTCCAAAGTTCAAATATTATCTAACATACATTAATCAATCCCCGATTGATTGGTCAAAAAATTTTGATCCAAGTGTTGAATATGGTTGAGAAAAGTAAGTTGGAATTTTCGGTCAGTTTTGTCAGGCTTTTCAAAAAGCCGTTGTTTTGGCCAGCTAAAACAAATTCCAAGAAACTGAAACACATATATGCTGAAAGCCCAGCTTGCCAGCTATCGATTCAAATGTTAAACTTTTTATTTTAAAGAATTTCATAAGGAGAAAAACGGGTTTTCCGTAGACTAGGCATTTTCTCACAACACGTGCCTAGTATAGTGGGTGCGCTATCTAGCGCCAAGCTCCGTTCGAGCTGAAACGTTTCGAGGCAATATTCTTGTGGTGCGTCTATATAATTAGCAGAAAGTTGCAGAAATGTTTCTTTGCGGAGTTACAGATTTTACAAAAATGGCACGTTTTAAGAGGTTTTTCGCTGGTTTTTTTGCTTAAAACTCACTTTTTCCCAGAAATAAGGACAGATTCGGTATCCGCATGAAAAGCTGCATCGAATGATATATAATTTAAAACATTTTTCTACAGAAAAGTTTTCAATCACATTGAATCGTAGCGTAGGAGCACTACCGCAGAAAATTTTCACTCTGCTTGTGGACATATGCTGCAGAAGTGGTAGTTAAGTCTATAAACACACTTTTTGTAGGTATTTGAATATGCTCTTCCCAATGGTGAGACTTTCGAAATCCTAAAATATTTTTTTGTGGGTTTTCTGAAGGCTGAATCTCTAAAAAAACTCAGAAAAAAACATTTTAGGATTTCGAAAATCTGACCATTGGAAAGAGTATATTCGAAAACCTGTAAAAAGTGTGTTTGTAGACTTATCTATCACTCCTACAACATATGTCCACATGCCTAGTCAAAATTGCTCACTGCTTTCTCCATCTTTTAGGCTTGATGGTCTTCTGTGAGTCAGAATAGAGAACTCTATTGTGCAAATATCGAGTGCAACTGAAGTGCGTCGAATCAGCAAAGAAGTTGTTTATTCACCACACACAACTGATAACTTAATTAATTAATTGAAGGAGAAATAAATCCTAGTTATGAAATAATAGCTTAAGGAGACAAAATGCATTATTATCACTAAAGGGGAAAGCTGGCGTGTAAATATAAATCAATGATCCGATCGTTGTTTATATTTATACTCTAGCTTTCCAGTTCGGATAGAACATATCAGTTACAAGGTAGTTGCATTATGAAACATTATATCTGTTCAGGGGTAGAAGTTTTAGAATTGGTAAGATAGAAACAGCAGCTGTTTTTATATTCATCTTTATTTAATAAAAATTAAAATTCAAAGTATTTTTTTTAAAATAAATCTTTTTATAAAATAAAGTCGCCGTTTCGAAAATTGTAATTTTCATTATCAAGACAATCGAGACGAGTTGTTAATCGTCTCGATTGTCTTGATAATGAAAATTACAATTTTCGAAACGTCGACTTTATTTACATATCAGTTACAGGATAGTTGTATTACCTTGTAAGTGATATGTTCTGTCCGAACTCAAACATCATTTTATTTATCCAACACATTGTAGTTCGTGTTAATTGACAGGATCCCGAGATCTACTTTCCATCTTCATTCTTTAACTAGAAGAATAACTCTAGAGATCGATTCTTATTTAAGAATGTTATCAGAAACTTATAAGTTTCTTATCAGTTTCTTATAACATTCTGAAAAACATTTAAAACAAACATGGCACAACAGGATTTAAAATTAACAAAGCGTGAAAATCTCTTAATAAAATATCTATCAGCAATTTCCAAGGAAATTACAATAATTGTAGCCTCAGTGAATGTAGATAGATCTGGACGACTAGTACATTCTGGTCTTAAAACGCATTTTGAAAATTCATGTGCACAAATGAAATTGGTTATGGAAGGTATAATTTAACGCAGCTGTCCCCGTTTCGGATCCCATTTTCTTCCTGTACCTCCTAAAGGCTTATAAACGCGCGAGAAAGTTTTTTTTCTAACAAAAGCGCGTTTATCTGACTTCGATTATTCTCTTTTGCAAGATGTACTTTTCTAACGGGAAAGTAGTGATGTACTATCTGTGTGTTTTTCAAAATGGAAAAAATTCAGTGTAGAAACGGCCACAGCTATACCTTCTTATCATATTGTATCTGTCAATGTTAGAGGCCTTGATTTACGGTGCCAAGAAGTTCTAATTTTAATTTCGATGTGTTAATTCTTATCGAAACGGGCGTTGGCAGACAGGCCTTTTCTAAACATACAAGGTGAGAATAGTAACGGTGGAGTTATGATATTGGTTAGAAAGGACCTGAAAGTCACAAGTATCGATTGTGAACTGCCAAATATAGGTTTTAGGAAAAGGTTTTAGGAAAAGAAAATCTAAGAATTATGGAAGTTTTTGCATCGGAAAGGAAATCTTGGATCTAGGATGAGTATTCAAAGTTACACATTTACACATTTGACTGATAAAGTAAAGATTATATTCAAAATTCAAAATTCAAAATAATTTTGAACGTTGATAGTGCTGTAAAATAAATTATTTTAAACGTATCTACATTAATTTCGACTCTCAAAATTAATTAAAACTAATTTATATTATTAAACACAAATCTATTACAAAAACATTTATGTAAATGAGTTTGAGAGTAGAAATCAATCTAAAGCAATTTAAAGTACAAAATTATTTCGAATGAGTTCAAAATAAATTAATTTAAACCAGTTCAGTTAAAAATTATTAAAATTTTTTTTCTCAAACTAATTGGAGCTAATTTTAACCTAGAAATTAATTCTAGTTGATTTTAACTGCGAAATTGATGTAAATTAATTTACTACAAACGAATTTAAATTAATTTGGCTATTTAAATTGATGTGGAGTAATTTTTCTGGAATTTTTTCTGGAATTAACATTAGTATTATTTAAATTTGCTGTGGACGAAGATTATAAAGAATTCAATTTACAAACATTTTTAAATACATTTTGCAATATCTTAGATATAAATGTAAATGATATAACTATGAAAAAGACACAAATAGGTTCGGTTATACTGGAAACAGAAATATACAATAAATTTAAATCCTCCGATAAAAAAGTAAAGATCAAGATGATCTGCGATTCATTAATGGCGAATGAAGTACAACACGAACTTGATAAAATGAAAATCTTCTTCACTTTTATAGGTACTGTTAATTCGTTAACGAAGGAAATACGATTTCGTGAGGAAATCAAACTATATCCCAAATAGAATCGCGTATATGGTATTGGTTATACATACTGGAAAGGTGCACTCGACGATGGGAAAGATCGTGGTGGGCTACCATACTATTGTCCTGTTGGATGGGAAAGGCATTCTCTTTGGGTTACTGAAAACTTTGAGAAGAAGTTCAATGGTTGGTGCATATGTTATCATGGCACAAAATTTTTATGTGGCTTATCTATTCTACTGAGCGGATTGAAAAAAGTAACGAGGAATGAACACGGCTCCGGAATCTGCTCGTCAATTATTTATGTATCTCACCCAAGATATGCTGAAATTAAGCAAGTTGAAAGCCCAGGTCGCAGGAAGTTTTTTAAATCGAGTCAATTTGTACAATTTGTATTAGAATGCCGTGTTCATCCAGATAGCATTTGGAAAAAAGCTGCGGAAACATTGAAGAGCAAGGACACAGTTATCGATCCTAACATACCCAATAACAATATTGAATGGATTATTGGTAGCCAAAATACAAATCTAATCGATTTTAATGATAAAGATGCATTGATTATTTGTACAGGATTGATGATACGGGTTACAGATGTTCATCCGGGACATTTATCTGAATCAAAATGGTGGTGTAACTCTCATTTATGTGATGAGCAAAAATGTTGTGCCTTAGGTATTGATCGTCATTCTCTTCCAGAACAAAATCAAAGTGACAATATACATCAACTGCAACCGAACGAGTTTCGAGCTGGGATTACTCATCGATTTTTGACCGAGCTCAAGCGATTTATTCGTGAGTCTCTGTAGCAACAAAACTGTTTTTCGTGCTAATTTTTCAAAACTGGAAGGAATCGCATTGCTCTTAGACCTTTCTCTCTTATTCTACCTTTTCCCGCTAATATATGTTACATATAATTTTTAATAAAGTAAACAAATAAATAAACGTTCTTTTGTCACCTTACGTAATTACTTCTTTGTTATATGACGCATTCGATGCAATTGGAGAAGTCAACTACCACAACGATATATTTTTTTTCTTCGCACGTAATATCTCAACCAACAATTATATGTATGGCTTTCAAAGTTACAATTCATCGAAATTATGACAACTATATCGAAAGAAAGAAGCTATTACTGTATATACTGTAAAATAAACCCATAGAATAAAGCTTTAAAGTGTTTACGAAAGTGCAACGCCCTCTTTTACCGTTTATGAAGTCTTCTTAAACTCTTTCATGTACCCCGCTTATAGGGCACATAAAAAGGTTTATCACGTTCATATACCAGCCACAAAAGGTTTCTGAAAAGGTTTAAAATGTTCATAAACTTTTAAAGGGTTTGCTATATGTTGCACTTTTATAAATCTTTCCCAAAAGTACATGAGCTTCATAAATGATTATAGATAATCATATAATTGACTATCAAAAGGATAGAAGGGAGGATTCATGAAGTTCGCTTACTGTATCAAGGGTTCCTGAATGAGAATATGAACCTATTTGTACCATTATCAACTGTGTTAAGGGTATATGAACTCGTTCGCGACTTTCATCAACCATGCCAGGGATAGATGAAAGGGTATATACGACCATTTTCAAGCATCATGATCAATGCGAAGAGTATATGAAAGTGCTCCTGAGATTTATCTACCGCACAAATCGTTAATGGCAGGATATACTGAGAGATTTATGATATTCGTGAGCCTTTCTAAGGATTTATGAAAGTGTAGATGGACGCGTTGATCAACATCCGCTTGGGTACTACGGGTATATGAAATCATTTATGGTCCTATTCGACCGTACCAAGGATTTCTTGAACGTACAAACAAAGGACCCCGGTGATCACCAATTCCTGCAAGGTTTATGAAAGGGAAGGAGTAAGAATTCAGAGCAATCATTATCTTATGATGGTTTCAAAAGCGGTGAAAGACGACCTTCGTATTGGTGATGATGCTGAAAAATGGTTCCATATACCCTAAGACATGATATGATTCTATGATATGACAGCTATATACACATATATAAATATATATATATTTATTTGCTCGTTCTCTTTCGATACTGACGGGCGCACAAAGTGAAAACAAATAACAAACAGTTCTATAATGTTAACGATATTATGTATTGTGAGATGAGTTTAGTAGATACTTTTTCATTTGGTTTTGACGTCGATATCTGTGTTTAATATTCAGCTTTTCTTGATAAAAAGTGCTGAATGAATTCTTTCTGGTGAGCAATAACATCGGCGCGTTCGTGGCCTTCGAAATAAAGACAATTACTGTTGGCCTCGTGTCTTCCATCCCAACGTCGTATGTTCAAACAACAGCTCTCAATTGAACGAATTAAATTATTCGCAGATTTCTTCAAATTATTGATTTTATAGTAACGTTCATCAATAAATGTTGCTAAATCTGCCGCCTTAAAACTACTTGACTTTTGTGAACACGCATTGACCACAGACGCCTACCGTGAATCTCCAACTCAGGGAAAACATCATAAAACCCATCGGTGTGCTTTCCACCTCTATTTTCACTTATAAAATTGTTGAAATCTTTACATAAAAATGTTTTAGCCCATTTGTGACACG